CGCTACGCTCCCTGATAAAGAGTCCCTCCCCATCTTTCCTGTAGGCCGCCTTGAGGTACCGGCAGCTGCAGGAAGGTCTCCTCGGAGCCTTCTCTGCTCCAGGCTGAGCCCCCCCAGCTCTCCCAGCCTGTCCTCCCAGCAGAGCTGTTCCAGCCCTCGGAGCGTTGCTGGGGCCTCCTCTGGCCCCGCTCCAACAGGTCCATGTCTCTCCTGTGCCGAGGGCTCCGGAGCTGGATGCAGCACTGCAGGGGGGTCTCCCCAGAGCGGGGCAGAGGGGCAGAATCCCCTCCCTCGCCCCGCTGGCCACGCGGCTTTGGGGGCAGCCCAGGACACAGCTGGCTTTCTGGGCTGCGAGCGCCCGTTGCCAGCTCATGTCCAGCCCACATATTCATCTGCCCAGCTCGGGAGGCAAAGGTTTGTCCTGGGCACCTTCGTAGACACAGGACAACTGGGTGGTTCCCACCCTGGGCTCCGCATGGGCTAGATACCATCGCTGCCTTTGAATCAAAGGTGAGTCACTCCCTCTCCCAGGCTCTATTTGGCTCATCTTAAGCTCACCCTGGGAGCTTGTAGCCTTTTGAGCAAGAGGCACAGAAGGACGGGGCAGCAGTTTGCAGGTCTAGTGCCACCCCACTGTAGAAGGAAAACTGCTCTCCCCACTTACCATCAGCATCTTCAGATCTGCCCGTTCTGCTGGATTTTTAATTAAGCTGAAACAAGAAGAACAAGAGAGCAAAACCAATGTTGAGTCTTATCTTGGCTGGAGAGGTCTCCAACTTCACTGAAAAGCCACTTGGTCTCCTGGCTGCTTTCCCCAGGAGCCTGGCAGCATGGAAATGGCTCAGAAAGCATCATCTCCAACAACTCAGCTCCTAGGGAAGAGCTGCAGGACCCGTCTCTTCTAGACTATATGGATGAACTGCACCCTGCACGTGGACAAGAGGACCTAATGCTTGGCAGGGATCAGTGATTTTTTGTAATGTCCAATCTTTGTGATTTAATGGGAGCTGTGGCAGCATCTTCAGGTGTCCCCCCACCGCACCAGAAGGTCTGGAAGCCGATGGCATGTGCCTAGTGCCTGCAAGGCTGGAGGGTGACTCACAGCCCCAGCAATCTGCTCCACCATCCCCCTGCCAGGCTCATATTTAGAAGGTGCTGGGATACTGCTAAGCATCACCACAAATAAACTGCTTTTATTCCAACCCTTCCCAAGATAGGAGTTCCCAACGGAATGCGGGATCACACTGCAGCTAGGGACAGATCACCTATAGAGCATGGAGAACATTGTGTTACGTCCAACATTTTGGGTGGAGCAGTGGCCTGCAGAGCTGTCAGAGTGTATATACAGGCCTCCACCTTCAGCTGTAAGATGAAAACCTTACCATTTATTTACAAACTCCTGGAAATCTTGCGTGAAAACTCCATTCGGCAGCTTGGGAGGTGGCTGCAGAGAAAAGAAGGGTTTCCTGCATCACTGTGTGTTAATGGGTCAACAGGCAGAGTGTCACCCACGGTCTTTAATGAGCCGCAGAAAAGCTCTGCTCCACAGCCATCCTCCTCCTCCAAGCTGCCCTTTACAACCAGGAAACTGCTCCCTGCCGTTTCTTACCCTGACAGCAATCTGCTGCCCCAGCACGATGGGCAGCTGGGGGGACCCCACGCTGAATCACTGCCAAAGCTGGGAAACCAAAATTGCAGCGTCGCAATTCTGGATCCAACCTCACAAATCCCGGCTCTGGCAACGCCTACAGCGGACAAAGCTGATCCAGAAACGGGAACTTGGGGTCAAGTCCTATCACCTTGAAAGGGGAAGCTGCTCCTTCCACTTGCTGGTGGGATGGACCCTACTTCACAAGTCTGGTAGGACATTTCAGCCTGGGATTTTAGCAACGGTCACCCTCATTCAAAGGGTTTCGTCTGAGAAAACGTGCATGACCTCAGCATCTGTGCAGAGGGAGCCTTCATCCTTTGCTGATCTAGGGAGGAGTGTGTTTGAAATGTCCGGTTGCAGAAGGAGCAGGTCATTATGGCCAAGAGCCCCCCTCACCATGCTCCTCTTTCAAGGGCATTATGAACTTCCCCCTGCAGAGCCTTATTCCAAAACCAGAGATACTTTTGTGATACAAAGCGATGGGAAGAGAGAACAGGGCAGAAGGAAAGGACATCACTGCAGCTCAGAGGGGCTCTCTATTGAAAAGCCCGTGTTCAAGCAAAGGTTTCAGAGCCCACCCTGACTTAGCAGAGTAGACACAAAATTGTGGTACCTCAGGGAAGCCCCAGCAGAGCCAGCGGTAAGGAAATACCCACCTCATTAACTATATAATCCAGCAGTTCAAAGATGGCCATCGCAGGCCGGCTGTCCATCCCGTGGCCTGCGTGGTTAGGACGACAAAAACAGTGGTGAGCGGCTGTTCAGGGACAGTGAAGAGCCTTATTTCGTGTGAAAAGCACGTGTGCTGTGGGAGTTTTGCTGCGAGAGGCAGAGGCAACCCACTTGGGAACTGACTCGTGGTCAAAAAAAAATAAGAAAGAGAGAACCAAAACGCATTCTGAAATTTTGGATTTCTTTCACCATGCCTATAGTCCAGATTTATTTCCTATCTTGGAGCATTTGGAGAGTACCAGACCATCTGCTGTAGCAGGCTTGAAGCGCTTCTAGAGCCTTCTGCTTCCAAGCAAATGGCTCAAGCAGAACCTCCTTCAAACCCCCATGCCGGTTTGGTGCTTCTGTGAGAGCTCCCAGAAAAGCTCTTCCCCAAAAGCTGCCTCTAGCTTGAAAGAAACCTGTTGGCAGCACACGCAAAGCCTGAGGAGCAACAGGGGCTGTGACAGTATCCATCAAAGCATCTCCTCCAAGGGGTCCACATCCTGACAGCCTGCACCGTCCCCAGCATAGGGTGCTTTGCTGCATGGCTCAAGCCTTCTTGTGGGACACAGCAGGGTCCAAAGGAGCCCATGGCAGGAGGATAGACTGAGCTCTTCAAAACCTTAATAGACCCTGGTTGGCACTCCAAATATGTTCCTTCACAGCATCCCACGAGCCGTCGCCACCTCCCCATGCAAGACCAGGCTCCCACCTGCGCTCACTGGGAATTACACACCTCCACGGTAGAGTGGATTCTGCTGCAGCATCGATGGGGCTCCATCTGCTCTGCAGAGGGACCTCCCTAGAAACACTCACCTCCCCACCACAACCACATCCAAAGGGCCTTTGGCTAACCCAGCCATGCCGAACAAAACCCGACCCCTTCTCCCCCACATCTGCGTGTTGTTTCCGATGCATACGACAGCCCCTACCACTGACGGGGCGTCCTGGGGGCCTGGCCCGCGGCGAGATGCTGTGGGACTCTCCCTCTGCCCCGTCCACCACAGGACGGCCAAATATTGCTTCCAGTTCCTTGGAGTCTGGCGGGGGGATTGGGTACCTTCCGATAGACAGCTCCACTAATGACAGACCCATGCTCCAGATGTCGGACTGGACCGAGTAGTGGGTGCCCTGCAACCGCTCGGGCTGGAAGGAAAGACGACAGAAACACACATTGGCACAGAATATCAACACGTAAAGTCATAAATATCATCCACTGAAATTAAATAGATGAGACTCCATATCCTGACGGCCTCTCCAGCTCAGCTCTCCACCCCTCCAGGGAAAGGACTGTCCCAAAGGGGTCACGTGCAAAGGGGATGCAAAAGAAGGATCATGTGCAAACATAAAGTACTCATATGCATCTAATCAACAGCTACAGTTGAGCAGCATTTACAGCTGCCTACACTTAGGAGTCCAC